TGGGTTGAACTGTTCTGGAACAGTGTTGTAAATACAACTTAACCACTGATTTCTAGTTGTGTCCTCTTTTGGAATGCCAAACAAAGTAGTTTCGCTTTCACAACGAAGCACACAGCGTCACACACGGCGGGCTTGAGTGAGGAATGGCCGGCGGGCTAGAGTGAGGAATGGCCGGCGGGCTAGAGTGAGCGGAGGCCGGCTTGAGTGAGTGGTGGCGGGCGGGCTTGAGAACGGCGCGGCTGGTGGATTCTTTATGCACCAAGAGCTTGTAACACTCCAAAGAGAAAGGAAAAATTGAATTCGCATCATATGACCCCTTTAAAGAATCGTAGGCACACTCTCAACAAGACAAGTTGATTCAAAAGGAAGCCAAATTCTAGCCATAGAGAGAATGCTATCCCATAATGCAGTGGTGTCCAACCTTCCCCAGCATATTGTCCTAGAAGTCTCTAGTAATACTGAAAACCCTTGATTTTCCGGTTCAGGTGTGTTTAATTGGGGTTGGAGCTAAACTCTGCAGGAAGTTGCGGGACTGGACATGGACCCTGCCATAATGCATTGCAACAAGCTGAATAATAAATCATATACATATATCATATACATATTTCATTTAAAAAGGATAACAATTATTAATTAAAATGTGTTCCATGAAAAAATTTATTATTTGAGCTATTTTGCCTATATATTTGCCTATAAATATTCAATATCGCTACTCATCATAAGTACTTGGTACATTATCAGCGCAGCGGGAGACGTTCAAACTAATATCACGTAATTTATGTCTCTATGATGATTAGTCGATATCAGAAGGGAGGCTAGCCTCCTCTGCGAGGTTTCTTTTCTCAACAATCCTCGGCGCTGAAAGTGAACACTTAACGGTGATTGGCTAATTTTTTTTACCAACGGAGGCACGAGAGCTCAGATCTCCCCCGGCCTCCCCCTACCCTTCTCTATCATTAACGGTTGTAATCACATCAGCAGATTCGGCACATTCACGATAGAAAAGCGGCGCTTTCCAACTTCATTAACACGTTATGGTATTACAGCTGTGAAATTACAAACAAAAAAACACACATTCTGAGACATGAAATGAAATTAATTGTGAATTTTATTAACATTAAATCGTCCTCCTCCCATTTTCACTTCAAAATTTTGGGGAAGCTGTGCCTCTGGTTGCCATAGAGATACAGAATCAGAGGAGATGCTGAGTGAAAGACTGTGTCACATTCTGCTGCCCTCTGGTGGATGCATGCAGCATTCCCAATTATAATTGAAAAGAAATGTCAGAGGGAGAAATGGCTACTGGACTGCATCCAAGTTTCATTGGCTCGTCTTTGTGTTTGCAAGCGTTCATGTGCACATGTTAACATCTGAGCCATGTCTCCAATGTGCAGGTTGGAGAGATCGAGGAACAGCTCACTACCGCCAGAAGGGAATTAGCTAAATCTGAGGAAGCCAATCAGAAGCTTCAGAGGGACGTGAAAGAGGTGGGTCAGAGGTTAAATTCTCATCAAGAGCTCTTCAAAACAAAATCAAGAGCCCCATGTCACGCAACCATGGTTTTGCTGTCATCCCGCCTCCCTTCCCATTTAGAAGGGTTTCCTGCCACGATGCAGTGATTAATTGCCGGTAAAGTGCTCTAGTTGTTGATGGGGTGTGTCTGTCAGCCAAAGCGAGATCAGTCAAACTGCCAACAAAATAATCAGCTGTCTGTCTGACGTTCCTCATGGAAGAAGTCTAATTTTCTGTATAATAGAAGCATACTGTATTCTCCTGCGGTAACACAAAGACTTGCCGACTTGCCAACTTGGCAACGGCGCCTGTTTCATGTCACCGACTCGCTACTTATGGAATTTTCCGGAATTGCCAGTAGCTACCATGCTGGCTTGGCGTCCTATTTACATTGGATGCCTTGAGCAGATTTTTGCTTATAATCTGCTTCCACTGTCATAAAGTACAGTCTCGATAATGGCAAATGAAAGGGTTTTTTCCTCATTTCCCTGGACACACAGCCTGTCGTTCTATTTGCTACACTCGTTTTCCAGTGCCTCTTCTTCCTCCCTCTTAGCAATTATGTAATATTTGATACTGCGCTTTTTGTTTTGCAATAAATGTTTATAGTCAGCTCCATTTGAAGTAAACAGTTACGGTGGAACTGCTGTCTAGACAGACGCCCAAACATAATAATGTTACCGAATGGTCTGATTGTGATTGTTTAGTGTGTGTTTGTGTTTCTGCAATCAGTTAACCATATGTTGTTGTCTTTTATTCTTTTTGACGTTATCTCTCTTTTATCTCACAATTTCCCACCCCCTCATTCCCAGGCGCTGTGTCAAAGAGAGGACATGGAGGAAAGAATTACCACCTTAGAGCGCAGGTAATCTAGACCAAATTAGACCAGATCTCACTGCTGTTTTGTCGTATGGTATGGCCGCACTTTGGAATGACACAGATAGAGTTGCAGTTTTGATTTCTCAAGCAGCCTGCAGATCCTCACCGTGTGTGTTTCTGTCTGTAGGTACCTTAGTGCCCAGAGGGAGGCAACCTCTCTCCATGACATCAAAGACAAGCTGGAGAACGAGCTTGCCAGCAAAGAGTCTTTATACAGACAGGTACAAAAGAAAAATCATGTACAGACACACATGAAAGGTGTAACTATTGAAGGAACATTTAACAGTGTGTTCATCAACAGGAGTCTCTGGGGGTTATTCTCAGGGTATGGCGCCATTTGTGCCTGAAGATTTTGTTTTGTTTTTGTTTCATCTGCAAACATTTCAAGACTTTTCTTTCTTTTCAGTTTTCAAGAAATCTTTTGTATTTTAAGACCTTAAAGTTTCAGGGCCATAACCACCATGGGGAAGCACTGCAGGCCCCCTCCAATATTCAGATTATTGGTCAACAAATAGGCCTAGACTCTTTGTTACTAACTACAGCATCAAACTATGATTTTTCCCATAAAACTATTCAATCTTTACAAGGCCAAATTAATTTTCTGATTTTTTTTTTCATAGGAAAAAGCATAGACAGTAAAAACATGATATTTGTGTTTAAATAAAAGCTGAATTTAACGGTTTATATTAAATATAATTTACACTAACATTCAAACGCTCTGGGTTGGTAAGATTTTTAAATGGTTTTGAATAAAGGTTATGTTCACCAAGCCTAATTTATTTGGTCAAATGTACAATAAAAATTCTGTAAAATATTCTTAAATATTAAGATTTTATGTGTTCTTATATTTATGGTGCTCAAAAATAATATTATTGACCTCAGTATTAAAAACAGTGGTGCTGCTTAATATTTTTGTGGAAGCTGTGGTAAATTTTTTCAGGATTTGTTGATAAATAGAAAGTTCAAAAGAACAGCATTTGTTTTTGTAAAAGTCTTTGCTGTCACTTACATTTTAATTCATCCTTGCTAAATAAAACCATTTCTTTAAAAAAAAAAAAAAAAAAACTTTTGAAGGGTAGTCTACAGTTTTTATTAATTCTATATAACCCATTAAAATGTAGTTGTTATGAATGTGGACATGTAAATTGATATTCTGATGAATAAATAAAAAACTAAATAAGAAACTAACTTTTTATTTTATTATCACAACAAATGAATCTTGAAATTTGTTTTCTACTTTTTTTTGGCATATTATTAAAGATATTAATTCCAAATCTTTATATTTGTACAAAGCCTTTCGCTGTCAAATCTTTAAGTTAAACAAATTGCGCAATGGGAAATATATCACTATATATTCACAGTAAATAGAGATGCACTGCAGATTTAGACATTCTTAGCTATGGAACCTAAGAAGGTGTTAATGCACCAAAACTACTGTTTGCATTTAAATCTAAGTGAATTTATTTTGTTGTTTTAGAGGCTTGTGGGTTGAAGTCTGTAATTGTGGCTACAAGAATTTAGAATTTGTTTCCAGGCTCTGTGATATGTCTGGACGTGTTGGTTTTAAGTAACATATGTCTTTGCTGTTCATACGTATCGAAATGATCTCTGGTTATAGATAACGTAATGACTAAACTTTTCATCTGCCTGTGTTTGTTTACCTGATTTTTGTTCATAATTTTATTTCTTAATTTTTCTTTTTCTGTTGGTTCGTTGGTGGCTTCGTTTCTGACAAAAAGAAGTTCCATTGTGTTTTTCCAGGTCTCCACCAAAAACAAAGCACTGTTTTTCCTGAAGAGAATGTGTTCATTATGGTGTTCTTTATTATTTCGCCTCATTGTTCTGTCACTCAGAGCGAAGAGAAGAACAGGCAGCTCCAGGAGCGTCTAGACGATGCTAAACAGAAGCTGCAGCAAACCCTCCAGAGGGCCGAGACGCTGCCCGAGATCGAGGCTCAGCTCGCCCAGAGGGTGGCGGCACTTAACAAGGTGTGTGCTGTCAGGTTCAGATCTGTTTGACGTGCTGTGCTATTAACTCATTTCAAATTGAGAACAGGTCCAAACTAATGTTAATAGACATTTTATCCTTGCTCTGTTGTTTAGGCAGAGGAGCGTCATGGCAACTTTGAGGAGCGACTGAGACAGTTAGAGGCACAACTTGAAGAGAAAAATCAGGAGCTACAGAGGGTGACCAATCCTCTCTTTTTTCGTTTGTTCAGCATGTCAAATATAGTGAAGTATTTTCACTATGGATGGGCTTTTAGAGTAAAAAAAAAAAGGTTATTTGAAATTAAAATGCAAACATATTGAGTATGACGTGTGAAATTTATTGATTCACAAATGTTACATCATGAGTTTCTCATTTAACATAAAAAGTAAACAAACAATTTGCATTAAACATCTTCAAAATGTAAAAAAAAAAAATATTTAAATAAATTTTAAACATGTTTAAGTATATTTTAAATACAACTAAAAATAACAATTAAAATTCAACTGGAGAATCCGAAAGCAATTTTGTAAGCAGATGTATGAGTATTGCACATATGAAACAAAAAACATAGAGTTTATATAGTTAATTTATATTTAAAGTTGACTTCTATCTTGTAAAAAACCGATCTGAGAAGCAACCACGTTTCTTGTAGCATTTCTTTTTCCATCATTAAGCAAATCTCTGTCTGATGGGATGTGTGACTTTAACAAGAAACAATTATATTACTTAGAAATAAGTCATATAAATTCAAAAAGAAATTCAAAATAGTGTTACTCTTAGATTTGCTTGAAACCACACAGCGTCATCTCTCATCACCTTTTATTCACTGTTAGTCAAGTATATACTCAAGATTCATCATTCTTCTTTCTCTGTCCGTGACACCCCCAAGGCGAGGCAGAGGGAGCGGATGAATGATGAACACAACAAGCGTCTCTCTGACACGGTGGACAAGCTTCTGTCGGAGTCCAATGAGAGACTGCAGCTGCACCTGAAGGAGAGAATGGCTGCCCTGGAGGAGAAGGTGTGATCCTCCAAAATTTCAGATTTGATTTCTTTGGCAACGTTGCACACACATCCAAAAAACTGAAAAATAGCCTTGACATGTCACCACATCTTTGAAGTTTACCTCAAAATCCAGATGTTGCCTTTTTATTATTGTTCATGTCTAATAGGAGTTCCAGGCTTCCTCTATGTGTCCTCCCTCATTATTTCAGCACAAAAGCAGGTGTTTCATACCCAATGCATCTCTCATCAGAGAATCTATGATGAATGGCTGAAACATAATTTGCACATAATGTCAGAAACAGAAGACATGAAATGGAAGACATGTGACTGGAATGGTGTAGGAATGTGCAAAACTACATACTTTCAAAATCTGCTAGTTGTGGGATGCCTGAACAACTACTGTAGTTAACTAATCAGTTTTGAGGAAGTATAATTAGGCTGTTTCTGGTTCCTCTGACCTCAGCTGGATGTGTTTGTGAGGCCATTTACAAAAGGTGTGTTCAAAAACAGATTGAAGAAGCGTACGTCTCAAGATCCATTTTTAACGGTTAGGAAAACTATTTCAACATACCGTTTTAAAAACACATGTAAAAATGTAAAAACGTCCTGTAAAAATGAGGGAATTTCAAAAGCATGATTTCTAGGTCTAGAACTTCATAGAAAAATCATAAAATATTGCCTAGATTTTTTTCTACTTATAATTTTAAGTAATTATTTTTATTTATTGTTTTATATCTAATTATTATTAATGATTATTTGATTTTTTTTTTTTTTTTCAAGAAACAGCACACTCAGATAGTATGCTAATTTAAGAAAAAACATATCAAAACCTAAAAAAAAAAGATTATAATCTAAACTAGCCAACCTCACCTGACTGGTCAACTATTTCGCCATTGTGACCCATCCTAGCATGATGCTAACCATGCCACTGTCATGGGTTTGATTCCCAGGAAACACACATGAGATCAATTTGGATAAGAACACCTTACAACTGAATGAATTTATATGTAAGCATCTGGTGTAATATGTTACAGAACGCTCTCTCTGAGGAACTCGCTAACATGAAGAAGATCCAAGATGATCTCTTAGCGAACAAGGTATGTTTCTCTTTAACCTATAATGGTATTGTAAAAAAAAGAAAGAAAAAAAAAAGAAAAGAAGGTTCTGTTCACTTGACCTGAGTCCAAATGGCTACATTATCTGATACTAAAATCTTATTCCTCCTAGGATCAGCTGATTGCAGAGCTGGAGAGGCTTCAACTAGAGCTGGACCAGCTGAGAGGAAGACCTGGTTCCTCTTACTCACGGTAAGATGCATAATATTTCTGCTGTCCTCTTAAAAAGTCATTTATGCCCATTTATGAAGTATATGACATTCACAATCAATTTTACTTCAGTATGTGACATTCAAAATTTGGGGTCAGTAAGATTTTTTTAAAGAAATCAATACTACTATTAAAGGGTTAGTTCACCGCAAAATGAAAATTATGCTGTGTTTTACTCACCCCTGAAGCATCCTAGGTGTATATGACTTTCTTCTTTCAGACGAATCCAGTCGGAGTTATATTAAAAATTGTCTT